CTAGGAACTGGCTTCTTGGATGCTTCAGGTTCATTATCCAGGAATACAGAAACAAGAGTAAAAGGGATTTCCCCAACTCCCAAACGTGCTTTCACCATCTGGCATGTCGCCAAGCCTCATAGTTACAGATGGTAAGGGTGCAAATTCCAACTGCTCTACAATGCAGGTTGAGACCTTTTTTTTTTTTTTTTTTTCCTAAAGGTAGATAGGCTCGAGCTGGGTGGCAACTTGGAGGTTCTGTGTTTGGGTAAAAATTTGATATCCTATGGTAGGTTTTAGAAGGAAATATAAGATGCTTTAAATGTCACTTTTAAATTATCTCATCAAATTCTCTCTAGATTAAATGACAATTTGAGAATTATTTGTTCTTTAGCCTTGAAAAAATTATATTAATATTGCATTTTAAGATACCTTGCTGTGGAATGCTGCCACTGAGATTCAGCAGTGCATCCCCAAGATCTAAAAGATACATCAAAAACTAATTTTTGTCTTTTCTTTCCTTTTTAATATTAACAAATCTACATAACACTATCATGTGTTAGGTGTGTTGAATAAAACATTGAGATTTATGAATAATTTACTTTGTAAAAACGTAAGAATTTAAAGCTTCTTCATCAATGACATACTGCACAATAGTCCCTTGAGTAGGAGAAGAAAAAGGGTAGAAAATGTGGGACTTACTATCTAAGAGATGGGTGTTTCACACAGAAACACTAGCATGCCATGCTCACCTCTGTTGAAGCCCACAGATTCAGCACCACTACTCATGCTGAGTGAGAATACCAGTGTGGTCCAAGGCCAAGAGCGTTGGCATCCTTTGGGAATTACTTAAAGAAGTGAATCTTCAGCAACTCCAAACAGATCCAGTGAATCAGAGGACTTGAGAGAGACCGAGGTGTCTGTCTTCACAAGCTGTGTAGGATATTATAGTGCTTACTAGATCTGAGAAGCACTCCCCTAGGCCAAAGACTCTTGGAATGTGCTTCCTAGTACACCAGCATCTCTTGGGAACTTACAAGAAATTATCTGTAGCCTATTTTTGTGGAGCTTTGGCAGGTAAGAGTGAGAATGCGCCAGGGCCCTTTAAAATATTTAAAGATCACAGAGATGGAAAAACTGAGTCATTAAATAATGAATTCTCAGGGTGGAAGAGATCACTCAGTAAAGTGCTGACTCTGCATGCATGAAGACTTGAGTTTGATCTCCAGTGCCTACATGGAATGCTGGGCAGCATTATCTCACCAACATTACAATCACATGAACAAATAGCCTAACTCTTAAATTTAGCTTTTAAGAGTGGGCCTGAACATGGAGGACACTCATTCCCCTAGAGATCTCTTGGAATCACCTGTCCCTGGAACTGTGCTGATGGAACTGCCTTGTTGGACCTCTGTCCCTGCAACAGTGTTCTCAAGCCAGGCCCCACCCATAATTTTATTCAAAATGGCTTCTCCAGCTTCAAATGAGGAAATACAAGTCTGGCTCCATGCTAATCTCAACAGACCATTTGGCCTTTTCACCTCCAGTTCTAGAATCTCATTCAACCAAGGTCGTGCATCCTTCCCAATCTCCTCTGTGTGCAATGGAGATGGGTGTGCTTGCTTCCAGGGCTTTGATACATAAATTCTCAAGCATACCCACAGTCATTCATCTTTTTTAGTTGGAGTACTCAATTGAGGTTGCCAGGAAACAAGATCAGGTGCACAGGTCATAAGACACAAGAGTACAAAGTTTTTCTTGGGTTAAGTCATTAGTTTTGATTATGTCCATTTATAAAAGTCATTCTCACAATGTTTGGTGTGGTTTTGCACACATAGAATTTTAGTGTTGTAGGGGCAGAGACAGGGAATCTCTGGGGCTTACGGTCAGCTAGCCTTGCTGAACTTAAAAAAAAAAACCAAACAAACAACTTTTTATTTACTTATTTTGAGTATGGATATTATGCCTGCATAAGTGTACCAGTGTTTTGCAATGCCCACCAAGGTGAGGAAGGGTGTTGGATCCCCTGGAACTGGAGTTACCAATAGTTAGCTACCATGTGGGCACAGGCATTTGAACACAGCTCTTCTGCAAGAACAGCTAGTGCTCTTAATCTCTGAACCATCTCCCCAGCCCTAAGAATTTGTAAGCTCTAAGTTCAGTGAGAGACCCTGTCTCAAAAACAAGGTACAAAATAATAGAGGAAAACATCCGTTGTTGACATGCACACACAAGTAGGTACACACACACACACACGTACACACACCACACACACACACAAACAAATTCTAGGGTAAAAACTGTGTCCTATAACTGGAGAAAACTAGGAATATATCTTGTTGCCTGACTTCAGGAAGTAGATCATACAATCTCACATGTGTCCCCAGGACTGCCCAGAACTCAGGCCATAAAGTCAGGGGATCTAAAAGCAGGATGTCTGCAGAACTGGTTATGGTAACCTCAGGAACTTGAGCAAGGCCCTGTTAGCAGCTCTGGACTCCCTCAGCTCCTATTCTCTGGGGGTTGAGTTAGCTTAGCTTTGTGCATAGGCTACTGGACTGAGGATAAGCAGGGTGGCTACTGATCAGTCTCTTTTCAAGACATCTTGAGGAGGTCCTGGCTTTCAAGCACATTTTCCCAAAGTCATTTGGACCTGTGATATAAAGAAAGCTATGAAAGAGAGAGAACTGGGACCCAAAAGCTAAAGACAGAAGCCTGTAGGGGTGGGGCGGGAAGAGCTATCTGCTGGTAGACAACACAACATGTTTAGGAGATGCCATGGTTGCTATCTACTTTGCTTCTGCCGGGTCATGTGAGTGGCTAAGGTGCAAGATCTTTGTGTTTACTTTGAGGAGACGAGGGAGAACAGCTAAGTCTCTGCTTGGAAGCTATAAGTCTTCCTCAGTGACAGGCAATGCCACACATCTTGTCTTCCTCAGGCACTGGAATACATGAGATCTGCAGGGAGATGGAACCCTTCTGTAGCACATTCTTTACCAACAGATCTGTCCCCAGACAGATTCTGACTCCTGAAGGTCCTCAGAGCAGCATGGCAACAGCTGTATACCATTGTTCCCTAGTATCCACAGGGAATATGGTCTGAGACCCTATGAGTTCCTGAAACAGTGGAGAGTACTAACTTCTGCATGTGCCGTGATTTATCTCATACATACATGCCTATGATGAACTTTTTAACCTAGACTCACTAAGAGACTAACAACAATAATGGCCTAAGAGTTATAGAACAAAAGAAAGAACGCACTACCAGGAAAAAAAAAAAAAAAGACAGCGCACATACAGGAGAGGCATGTGGCATTTCTGGTATACAGAGAGAGGCTGATTGCAGAGGGAAAGCCTGCCCTACCTATGGCTTAGTATCTGCAAAGGAACAAGTAAACTGATGGGCAGAATTTCCAGTGCTGCTCACACCACTGTTCAAACATCAGAACTTCGACCAGCCACCACAGTGAGGTGCTTATGGTGTTTTGAGTTTTAATGTTAAGCTCAAATCCACCATTAGCAAATTGTGCAAGCTCATCATCCTCAATTATCTCCTCTGTTAAGTGGAGATAATCCTCACATTATAACATAGAATAAGGGTTCAAGGAACAGCTCAACTTGAAGGGGAATAGTTGCCCTTTCATGATACTACATGCCAGGGATGGCTAAGAATTTAACATAAATTACTGCTAATCTGCAAGAAAGATTTTTCCAAGGGTCTTATTCTGATAAGTAAATGCCTCTAATGAGGCCACTGGCATTCAAAAAAAAAAAATAAGAAACTTGTACAAGGTTCATCCTATGACAGTACAATAGGAATTTGAAATAGTTTGAACTCAGAGCCCATGCTTCAAGTCCTATACCTACATTTTTTAAAAGCCATGTCTCATGTAGCTCAAGTTGGCCTCCAGCTCCTGATTCTCCTGTACCTACCCCCAAGTACTGGAATTACAGGCATGAGCCACCACACCCAGCTAAAACTTTTTTTGGTAGTTCTGGGGAATCAAACTCAGGGCCTCATGCATGCTAAGCAAGCTTTCTACCAATGGCCTATAGATCTAGGCCTTTAAGCTATACTCTTCCAAGCTCTTACAATATAGTTGGCCATCTATATCCATATGGTAGCTATCCATGTAATACATAATAGTGTATCTAAAATATTTTCAAAGTTGTCATTGTTTATTATACAACATAGTACAATAATTATTGGCATAGCATTGACATTGTAGTAGTTTGTTATCTAGAGGTGACTCAAAGTACATAGGATAAATGTAGGTTCTATCCAAATACTATAGTTTTATTCCCTACTGAAAATTTTTCTTGAGACATGGTCTTACTATGTAACCCAGGCTAGTCTCAAACTTGTGATCCATCTGTCTCAGCCTCCTGAGTGCTGAGATTATTGTCCCATGCCCAGCTATAGATTATATCTCAGTAAGGAATTTAAACATCTGCAGTTTTTGAGTACCGTGTGTGTGTGTGTGTGTGTGTGTGTGTGTGTGTGTATGTGTGTGTGTGTGTCCTAGAATGGGCTCTTATAAATAATCAGGGGTCACTATAATGTAGTACTACAACAACCTTAGAAGTAGCCATTTTGCAGGGGGAAAAAGAGTTTGGGGCTTAAGCAAACACTGAGGGACATTTGGGGACACAAACTTGACTCAATAGGCTTTTACATATATGACAGAATGAATGAAACCCAGTGGGTGGGCTAGAGGAAACGCAGATAGGGGAGGGGATCTAAATACAATCAAGATGTATGAAATGCACAAAAATTCATATGATTTTTTTAAAATTGAAAGCAAACTCACTTAATTTCAAGTCTCCCGCCCTTTAGTAGTATTCTGCTATCCTTTAACTGATGTCCTCTGTAAAATATCATTGTTTCCTAACTTGATTGGATTTTATTCCCACTGTGGGGAAAGCTTCAAAATGTGGTTCCAACCCGTTTGCCGTTCTTTGATAAAGGGAATTACTGAGAATGCAAGTGCTTCTAAACTTTCAGCATTTCTCTTTTCTAGTGGGACTCACAGAAAATATTGGATTCCCTTTGAAACTGCTTGAAAAGCATAACCCTTGGCCAGCCTATGTCACATACACCTCCCCGATAGTAAAACGACTCATCGAGAAAAGCAGAACCAGAGAACTAGAGTACATGAAAACAGTAGAGGAAAGCTGGCGGGCAACCAGGCAGAACAAGTCTTCCAGCATCATGCGGCTGAAGAGGAGAAAGTCCACCAAGTCCTTCAGCGACCTCCTGCTCAAAGATGTCCTATCAGACACTATGCTATCAACATGGGACATTTACTCTGTAATGAACCTGAGTGCCACTGCTGTCCCAGAACCCACACAATTACAAATGGAAACCAGAGAAAGTCCAACGTCAGACTACAACAAGATTATTTTCTCCAGAAAGCCTGTGATGAGGAGACTCCCATATGGACAGCAGCAATGAGAAACATGCCAGTGTTTAGGAAAGAGCCCTGCAGCCATCCCTTGAGAACATACAACAATTAAGCTCCATTTGGAATAAATTACACCATGTCCTTGAAACTTGTTCTTGTTCATGCAGAGGTTGGCAGAGAGAAACCATATCAGAATGTGGCCTGCAGGTGGTGGGGTGGGTGTCCTGCTGGGGTGGGGCAGCTATAGATGCTGAAGGCCTAACAGTGGGTATGTTAGTCTAATTCCAGACAGGAGATAGAAACCACACCAGTGATTTTACCAGGGATGATTTAATAGAATTATTAACTGGGTAATTAAAAAGGGTAGAAAGGTAAAAGAATCCAAAGGTATCAACAGAGATAGCCAGGGAGGGAAAGAGTTATTCTTGCTAAGGCAAGGGCTTCAAAGGGAAGACACTGAGCTTCTAAGTGTCAGATGCTGGGAGAAGAGGCCTGTGGGCCAGAGCTCAGTCTTTCTAAGGTGGAGGAGTGGGTTTTGATCAGGTTGTATTGTTGACTCAGCCCAGCACTGCAGGGACTAAATTCCCACCTCAGAAGAGCGTTTCTGTTTGCCTAGTATCTCCGAAAGATAGCTTTGAGCTGGCTCTGTGACTGTTAGAAAAACTGGATTCGAATGCTTGAGAGAGGAGTTGCCACTGCCTAGATTACAAAAGGGCAGATACAGGAAACCAACAGGGACAAAAAGCAGACAGAAGGCACAATCAGGATGCTGCCAGTGAGTTAGTTCCTCCTTTTCCCTCTAACCAGGCAGACCCCTGCTAGGGCCCCCTATGGGCAGAATTTCTTGTGATACAAAAGGATGGGGTTTGAAGCCAAGAGAAAATTAGCTCAAGAACTACCAGTGTACCTGGTACTGAGATACTTTTCTCTTGGAGGGCTTACAAAATGGTAGTGGGAGCTGGAGTGCCCCTGATAAGAAATGGGGGATTCTTCCTCCGTGCTTTAAAAAGATAATTTTCCCTCCCTCCCTCCCTCCCTCCCTCCCTCCCTCCCTCTTTCCTTTTCTTTCTTTCATATGCATGTGCATGAGCAAGTGTGCCACAATGTGTGAGCCATAGTGTGTGTGCCACAGCATGTATCTGAAGGTCAGAGAACAACTTTGGAGAGTTAGTTCTTGCCTTCCACCACATAGATACCAGTAATTGAACTCAGGTTGTCAATTTTGTCAACAAGCACCTTTACCCACTGAGCCATCTTGCTGACCCTTTCTGACCCTTCCCTGTAAATCTTCATTTCACTATTGTGAACAGAGCTGGGAGGGTGTTGGGTAAGTTTGTCCTCTGAGGAAAAGATGGGGTGGGTCTAGAGAGAAGTGAAGCACACAGGGGAAAAGGAGGCAGATTTGGTGCCATTTTGGGAACAGAGAACAGCAGGCGAGGGGTGAGCCAGCCTGGTGTGGACCCCATGGGGAGCCGCAGACCCCGAGGGCTGCCATGGACCCCGTGAGGACCCCGCGGACCCCCCACGGACCTTAAGGGGTGAGATGGTGCACTGGACAGCTGGTGAACTTCAGGTAGGATAGCCAGGATCTCAAAGCTTAATCAAAATGTAGAAGATGGACTATGGGAGCTTATGCTTTGTAAGCCACCCTTTCCCAAACGTCATTTTTAAACCATGCTAAAACCCAAATAAGGGATATTTCGTCGGTTAGCCCTGGGGCCTCAGAGGGTATGGGCGGGGGTCTCACAAGAAGGGGGAGGGGAAAATTTAGTGTAACAGATGGGGTGCTGGGATAGGGGTTGAAGGGTAGGAGAAGGGATCACGGCTGTGTTCCTGGTTGGACACTAGCTGTTATCTGTCAAATGACAGGTAAAATTGGCCCAGCCAGGTTCTGAATTGGCTTCAAAGTAAGTCATGCTGAATTCTCCACAGTCTCCAAGCCAACACTACTAGCTTTGTCCTCAGACACAAGGAAGACAGGGTTAGGCAAGCAGGCACACCTGGTCTCCTGTTTGGGGTTTACCTGCTAGCATGGTTGCCCTTACTCATGTTTCTTTGTATGTCCAAGGCAGTTAATACCCAACTGCACCCAACTCCAGTTATACAGGTTACTAATAGCTGTATCATTTGAAAAGGGCATTTGGGAGTTGGAGAGATGGCTCATCAGCTAAGAGCACTGGCTGTTTTTCCAGATGACCTGGGTTCAGTTCCCAGTACCCACATGGCAGCTAAAAACTGTCCATAACTCCAGGATTCAACACCTTCTTCTGCCCTCTTTTTGCATCGCACAACACAGCTACACTTACATGCAGGCACAACACTTATATACATACAATAGAAGTAACCAAATTTTAAAAAAATTAAAGAAAAGAAACAGTTATTTGCCGGGAAATGCATTTTCTCCATCCGTTGTAAACATTTGCAAGGAGTGGAGGATGTAGCTTTTGGGAACTCATCTCTGGCTCCCGTGCAGCTGTCAGAACACCTGTGTAAATTAAGTGCTCTTCATCTAATCATGCGTTCTTAACCCCTGGCCAGAAAAAATTCTTGCAAAACCACTGAGTCTCAATGATTACTTGTGTCCTGGAGGCAGGAGGTAAATTCCTCTAAGGAAAAATTTTATCTTAAGACCTGTGATACAGTGTTGTACCCTTGTAATCCAAGCACTCAGAAGGCTGAGGCAGAAGGATGGTAGGTAACATACAGAGACTTTGTCTCAAAGCAAGTGAAGCAAGTAAAAAAAAAAAATCTATCTCTTTAGGATGTTTATAGTCAGGCTATATTTGGGTTACAGTGCCTCGTCAAGTGTTAATATGGATCTGGGATTACTCTGGTTGTTTCTTCCAATTTTTTAAGGTCAGTGCAATGTGGTAATTTGCATTGGCCTATGTGTATTTTTTTCTAGGTATTTACTAAGTTCTAAAAAAAAAGCATGCACTCTAAATATAAATGATTACTTCTTAGATAGCATTATTTAGATTGATTTAATTCTCAGCCCATTATAACAACATGAAGATGCTCCCATATCCTGGGGCAGTTTTAAAAAAGAAAAAAACTAATTCCTTTTGAAATGGAGAACTTTGCTCAAGTCTAGACTGGGACTCATGGGTCTGATTACTTAACAGTCTTGACAGCTATCACTACATGTACAAGAGGACTGAAGTGGTGCCTGGGAAGGAATTCTCAGGGAAGAAATTGCTGGGCAGGGCCAGCTGGATCTGTAATACAGGAAACTTTGGTGCCTGGGGGAGGAAGATTATCCAGTGATGTGTGGTGCTTAGATTTATCTGCTAGTTCAGACCTTCCTGAGTGCTATAAGGAAGGGGACCTATGAGTCCATCTCCTCAAGGACTGTTTAATTAAAATCCTAGAAGCCCTGAGCAAAGAGGGGGGAATCTCATGAACTTCATAACCCATCTGCTGTGGGTGGGTCCCAGTGCCTTAGGTGTGGACCTGAAACACCAAGGCCTGGTAGAGCCCAGTGTATACTTGTTGAGACCAGCTTTGTGTAACCCTAGGGTTCCCAGAAATAGTCATGGAGACTTTCCAGGGACCTGACATCCATCCTGAGCAGGCAGAGCGTGCATGTAGTGGAATGTGGATTTTTCCCATGTAACCTCATCTGCTTGTTCAAACCAGGGAGGCCTGGGGTATCTCAGGTTGCACTGATCATAGTTAACTTCAATCTTAAAGAAGGAACTGACTCTCTCTGATGTTTCACAGCTGACAGCCTCTTCTTATTTATCTTCTCTGTACATGGAATTTTCTGCTTGGCAGAAAAGCGGCTTCCACAGATCTCCTTACTTTCATAGTCTGAACACCAGAATGTGTACTTTGTTAGCCCGTCTGTGTTGCTCTGTAACTAATGTCTTATTCTGAAATATATCACCCAGCTGTTTTGCACAGATGCCTGGCTTCCTGTACACAATATGATATTTACCATTTGCGAATTCTGTGGTTGGTGTCAGAATAGTTGATGTTTAACCTCAGCAGCGTGCCCAAGCTTGCCGGTCATTTTCACTTCACCCAGGACTGTTAGGACATCAAACAGTTCCACACTCTGCAGCTTCCCCAGCTGTGGACTGGGGTACGTCTTGATGGGGGTTAAACCTGATAAGAGGCTACAGGAAACTTCAAGGTAACTTCCAGAACAAAGGCACTGGTATAGGTGTGGGCATACCTGATGTTTGAGGGTGGCGTGGGAGCTCTCTAACTGGAATGGAAAACAGGAGTGGGACCTGTGTGAAGGTGATTGACATTATGAGCTGCAGGTTTAGAGTGATGTGGAGTGAGACAGGTTCAGCATGCTCAGCATGCCTTGCTTTAGTTTTTGTTGATCCAGTGTCCTTACATGGGAGGGATAATCGTGATAGTCACGTAGCTCACCTTTTTGGAGTCATCTGAGGCAGATGACTTTGGGGCCCTTCTGGGGTCCTTCAAGGTAGCCAAGAAGTCATAGGAAGTAAGGGATGCAGCACAGGACAGAGGCCAGCTGCTTATACCGGAATCTCAATCAGCTACAGACAGTATATCTATGGAGATAAGGAATGAGGCTTAGGTGGCTCAGCTCACAGGCCCCCTAGCCTCTCTGTGTCAACAGTGGTTGTAAAAAAGATTATATAAGTGTTTCGTAAGCTGTGTCCAAGCAAATGTGCCCAACTGCACTATGTGGCTCTTGTTGACCTCCAGTCATTTCTTCTAGAATCTTTTTTGGAATCCACATGTAGGTATGGAAAAAAGGGCACATTTTTAGAGCTTCAGATTATCAGTGGCAGTTAAGAGAAGGCAGACTGAGATGCCAGGGCAAGGTGAGAGGGGGAAGGGACATAAGCAGAGTTCTGGCTGAAGCTCAGGACTAAGCTTCTATTTGTCAAGTGATCAGAAAAACATTCCTTCTCCTTTCTACCCTTTCCCTGGCCCACATCTCTTCTGGGACCCAAGGCTTCATCCAAATACTTGGGAACTTGGAAATCAGAGGATGATGTCTTAACCATGACTGGGCTGTTGGGCAGAGTCTGGAGATAATACAGAATACTTTCTTCTGCCTCTT